CGCAGCTACAACAAGGGCCGGGGGGCCAAGAAGCTGGGCGTGCTCACCTCCAGCAGGAAGTTCATCCTCGTCAAGGAGATGGTGCCCGAGTTCGTCGTCCCCAACCTGGAGGGCTTCAAGCTCAAGCCGTACGTCTCGTACCGCGCCCCCGCGGGCTCCGAGCCCCCCATGACGGCCAAGCAGCTCTTCACGGAGGTGGTTGCCCCCCGCATCGAGAAGGACGTGAAGGACGGCACGTTTGACCCCGACAACCTGGAGAAGTATGGCTTCGAGCCCACGCAGGAGGGCAAGCTGTTCCAGCTCTTCCCCAAGAACTACGTGCGGTAGGAGGAGGCGGCGGGGCCCGCGCCGGCGGCCTCGGGACAGCTCCTGGCACTGCTATTAAAAACGAATCCTTCCGTTCTGCCTTTCTGCAGTGTCTGATTTAAGTGGCTGTGGGGAAATGGGTGGTTAATGCCCCGTCCCTGGCTGAGGAGAGCGTTGGTGCAGTTCTGGGGTGTGAGCTGCGGGTGTCCTGGCCGGGCACTGAGCCTCAGCTGAGGGCAGTTGCTCTTCAGGCTGCTGAAACATCATTCCTTCCTTCTGAGAAGGAATTCCTGTCTTTTGGGAACAAGAGAGGATGAGTCTTAACTCCATGGGCCACTCCCGGCCCCGAGGGAGAGGTTTAACCCGGGGTGAGACCTCCAGCAGGCAGAACCCAGCCCAGCCCTGAGCTCCTTCTCTGAGGAGGGAACTGCAGCTCATACTGAATGCCACCGTTCTTCCAGACTTCCCCAAGCCTTAAAACCACTCTTTCTTTTAGAGTCAACCGAGATGCAGTTGGTTGGTAGGTCCATGTCATGTCCATCCCTCAGCAGTGCTGCTGCCTGAAGTTGCAGGATAACTTCAAATCTGAAACATTATCTCAAGAATTGTTACTTTGGGATTTATAATTCCTCCAAGAGCTGTCTTGTTGTTCATCAAATTAAATGGATACAAGTGACACCAGTTGTGCAACTGTTTTAAAGTAGAAATCCTAAATTCTAAATGTGTTGGGAAATAAGGTATTTTCTCTGACACCCAAGTGCTGGAGTCTTTGAGAAAATGGTACTTGGGATTGGTTTTGGGGTTTCATTTTCATAAGGTTTTCCAAATCCAAAGTATTTCAAACCTTAGGCATTAAAGAACTGAACTGCAATTAAAATGTTCACTTCTGGCTACAGGAAGCATGTTTAGTGTGTTCTCAGTGAGCAGCTGGTCTGTAACAAGGACTGACAGGTAACTCCTTAAACTGTTGTTAAAAATCATAGAATGGTTTGGGTGGGAAGGGACCTTAAAGATCACCCAGTCCCAACCCCCCTGCATGGGCAGGGACACCTCCCACCAGCCCAGGCTGCTCCAAGCCCCATCCAACCTGCCCTTCAACACTGCCAGGGATGGGGCAGCCACAGCTTTGTTTTCAGGGCTGGACAGGAACAAGGACAGGCTGCCCTGGCTTCTGCAAACAAAGCAGGTAGCACACGTGGGCACAGAAGGTTGAAGAATCACATCTACCTTGAGGGAGAGGGAAGGCACAGCTTTTCTAACTAATTAAATGGTTCCTCTTCATCTCACACAGCAATAAAAAAGCATTACAACCTTTTAAGACCGAGTCATAGGCAGGAGCCTGTTGCTGCAGGGACACACCCTGGGTGTCCTCACTGAGGTGTGAGGGAACTGGAGCCAGAAAACACCCAACAGCACCAAGAGCCACCACAGGACAAGACAGAGGGTCTTCACACAGACCAACCACGAAGGATTCTTAAAACCACAATGACCCAGAAAGATAAATCACTTATACTGATTTTATTTTAGAAACATCCAAAAATAGGGTGATTTTTTTTTTTAACAAAAGCTCTTGTTCACAATACTAATATGAATCTTATGTAGCAGTGCTCAAGAACATTTTCTAAAATACAGTCACCTTGAAAAAAGGAGTTACAGAACAGCACAATTCTGATCTGTACCTCACTTCAGGTGAGCACTGTCATGGATAGAGAGATCCCTGGTGCTGGTGTTTCTTCCCCCCCAGACAACTAATTCCTTAGGACCCTCAAAGAGAAACCATGCAAGTTACAAGTTTCTTACCTAGTTTAAGCTGATTTTTTGTTTCTGAGAAGATAATAGTTAAAGTATTCCAGAAACATTGTTTTGCTGATATTTCACAGTGAAAAAAGAAAGCTAATGGAGCAACCATGAGAAATCCTGCAGCCATCCCTGGAGGTAGTTAGGGCAATGTTGGTAAGATTTTGGTTTCTGTACTTACTTATCTTGAACTTAAAAGATGCCAAGAAACACTGCATGTACTTTTTGGAGGTTTTGATCTTAAAGCTGTTCACCTTTACAAAACTGAAAGTATCTTGACTTTGGACCTAAGTGTATGTCTTGCTGTGAAGAGGAGAAAACCCAAGTCTGAAGGCAAGAGGCCATGGCACTGGAACAGGGCAGGGCTGCCACACAGCTTCTGCTCACCCAGGTTGTGCTGAGCTTGGAGTGATAAAGTTAGGCTGCAACAACTAACTGAGTCTGATGCAAAATGAGACTGAGACACACCAGAACCCTCACAAGAAAGGCCCTGCTGGGAACAGAGCTTCCTGGGGCTGAACTGCTGTCTGTTATACCCCTCAGGCTGGATTTCCTTCTAAAACATGATTCCTCTCTCTTAAAGATCATCACGAGCTCATGGCTCTGTCAGTATCTGTCTCTGAGCATCCTCTCCAGGTCCAGGCTGGTTTGCAGATCACAGAGCTGCTACAGACACAACTAACCCTCTACTCCTGGGCTTTTCCAAGACCTTCAGGGAAACCTCTGCCCACATCCTGTGGGCTCTGTCAACACAGAGCAGCACTGACAAGTTTGGTTTGGGATGGGAGGAGAAGGGGCTGCACAGATCAATGGTACAAAGGCAAACCAGCCTCCAAGGGGTGCAGATGTCAGGTACAAGCAGCCTTTGAGAGGAAGGTTCTCCTTTAACTAGAACACCAAGGGAAAACTAAGTGTGTGTGTGTGTGTTTAACCACGTGCCTAAAGCAAAGGCTTTTCTCAGTAGAAATAAACCACCAGTAGTTCCATCACTATCAGCCTTAAGGGACTCACAAGCTCAACAATAAAACTGGAAAAGCCCAACAGAGATTAGACAGGGCATAAGCTCAGCTCTGGATGGCAGTACAGGAGTTTCCTACCCCTCTCCCTGGGGAATGGTCAATGCAAACCTTCAGCTGTCCTTTCAGCTGGAAATGTTGCACCTGGCGTCTCCAAAGGGGTCACCAGGCTCATCTCCCACTTCCAGACATGAAGGATATTGTCATAGAAAGAACAAGTGGCTACAATGCTCACTTCCTTTGGGCCATCTAGAGACCTGGCTGAATCGCTGCGTCCATCCAGGCCCCTTCCACTGGCTCTCCTAGCTCCCAGGCCAGCACTGCTGCCTGACTCAGGATGTGCCCCCTGGGCAGACCCCCCAGCCAAAGCTAAACCCCCCTTGAGACCCGAGCCCCTAAGCAGGGCAGGATCCCCAGGCAGCTCAGGGCCCTGCTCTGCTCCCAGCGGCGGGGCAGGGCCTTCGCTCTCCTCATCCAGGATGACATCAAAAGTGGCTGTAGGAGACTCGTAGATTATCTTCAGGTTTTGGACCTGCAAATTCAGGCTCTCATCTCTTTCCTCTGATCTCCCCACAGGCTCCTCTGAAGACTGGCAGGCAACAGCAGAGTCCTGGGTTGCACTCCAGGAATCCCTTGGACACAGCCTTGACCAGTCAGCCCCGTAGGCCAAGGAATTGTGCAGGACATAGGAGGACAGGATGATACATTCCTCCGTGTTCTCCGCTTTAAAGCAATGGAAAAAAAGAAGAAATGAGCAGAAATCAAGTTGTGAAACAGCTTGATGCAGTGCTCCCAAGCCATCCTAGCATTGTGTCCTACAGAAGAGCTCTCTGGTTATTGCCTTAGCCACAGCAGGGTTAAGCACTCTGAGAGAAACAAGGTTCTGCCTGTCCTGACAGTTTCTGAGCCACCTCTCATTAGCCTTGATTTTCCACAGTTCAATAAGCAGACAGGAAAGGAGGGTTTAATGTGCACAAGGTTTAAGAGCCTCATTACTCAAAACACCTAAAAAGGCTCAAGACAGGGCAGATCACACAGTGATCCCCACTAAGCCAGAAACACAACAGCTGAGATTGCCAGAGCAGGTTCTGGTTACTAATAAATTGCAGATGTGTTCATCCTGGGAGGTTTCAGAGTCCAATGCCTCTGATCAGAGTCCTCCTCTGATACTAAATGATCAAGCTTCTCCCTTCCCTGTACAGCAGAAGTGTTATCCTTGTTTCACAAGCCATGGATCTGCCCAAGGCCAGGAAGGCAACCATTTCATACAAGCCTGTATTTGTAGTGTAAATGCAAACAGCTTTTGTTCATGTAAATACCCTCTGATTCACATGGAGAGCTTATTCATGTTATTCCAGATTAACCAGCCTGCACAGCACTTCCCTGCTGAGGCAATAACCAGATCACCAGCAGGTCAGTAACTTCTGCTGACAGTGAAGCATCACCTGACATTTGGAAGAACCTCTTTGAACCATCAAGGTGAATACAAACCAGAATGGTCAGGTCAACAGGTAATGCCTTCCCACCAAGACAAACAGGTTTTCTTTCCAGGAAAAGAAGCCAGGAGATTTGCAGGTGAATAATGCCAATGCCCCCACACAACCCAGCAGGTCTGGAGGAGTTACTTTGAGTGGAAGTCAAAGTCTGTGGCTACTAACACCACCTCGATCTTTTGAGCCAGCTCTGAGCTGGAGCTGCCCTGGAGACAGGCCTGGGGAGCAGCTCCGGAGCACCCTCTGCCCTCAGCACTCACCCCTGCTGCAGTCGAGGATTTTGAAGCCGCTCTGCATGCAGGCTGCCAGCAGCACGAACTCGCAGCTCGGGTGCCACTTCAGCCTCCAGACCCCTCCTTCCACGGGTGTGTCTGCCAGGGGCTGCCTCATGTTCCTGGTGTCCCACAGCAGCACGTGCTCGTCGTAGCTGCATAGGTACCACAAACAAAACACCCAGACAAGCAGCAAAGCTGCTTCAGTGCAACAGGTACAGCAGAAAAGGAGGAAAGGTTGCATGCTTTCTTTCCACCACCACTGCATGTCAAGGGCACCAGGGAGCTCAGCACACCAGCCAGCAGCTGCTGGGAGGGGTTTACCTGCCAGTAGCCAGAAGATTCTCCCGGTGGGGACTGCACTGGATGCTGCACACACCCATCGAGTGTCTGCAAAAGAACAGCACACAGCAGAGGGAAGAGACAGCAATGGGAAGAGACAATTTGAGAAGAGATTTTTCCTTGAATTTCAGGGATTTGGGGCCCATGTGACCAGGTGTCTCAGGAAAGGAGAGAAAGGTGAACTTAAATGAAACAAGATGTTCCATCTACATAGTCCAACAGCCTTTCTAAGGCAAAATTTCTACTCACATAGTTTCTTAGCACAAGTGTTTTCTAATGATAATTGTACCATAAACTGCTGGATAACAGGACAATAGGATAACCAAATTTAACACACACAGAAATTTCCCAAAATAAAACTGTAAATGAGGATCCTTCCTTTAGAAAGAAGATACCACTGTTTTCATGTCTGGAAGTGAGCTGTTGGTTCATTATACTGAAGGACACAGAGAAGAAAGTTTCAGCCCAAAGTCATCCTTTTTGAAAAAAATCTAATGGCTGTCAGTTTCCCAAGGGACATAGAAGGAGGCCTCTACTGTCACAGAATCACCTTGGTTGGAAAAGACCTTCAAGATCATCAATTCCAGCCATTATCCTGACACTGACAAGTCCTTAACCAAACCCTATCCCTAATACCACTTCTATATGACCCCGAAATCCCTCCAGGGATGGTGACTCCATCCCTGCCCTGGGCAGCCTGTTCCAATGCCTGGCAGCCCCTTCAGTGAAGAAATTCTTCCTAACATCCAATCTAAACCTCCCTAACCCTCCCTAATGGACAGGGTGGCACCAGATGTTCCCACAGGACAGCTTAAGGGCCCAGGAATGATGTGGCTTTCTTACCTCCTGCTGGTGAACACAGGAGCCTCAGGATTGCACCTGGTGTCCCAGCCCTTCAGCAGGCTGTCATCTCCTCCTGCACAACGAGAAGACATTGTTACCCTGAGCACCTTCAAAACGACCAGTGCAGGGCACTGCAGCAACACGGGTAACACCCAGCTGAGGCTTTCCAGCCCTGGGATCTCACAGCATGGAACTGGCACAGCAGAGGTCACCTGAGGCTCACAGGACTCACCACCACAGAACAGACCTGCATGAGCAACACCCTCCCTTTGCTAAGAAAAAACGTTTGAAGAAAAAACAGCCTGGACTCCAGAAGGTCCCTGAGCTCTTTTGCACACCACAGGAGATTAACATATTTTTGCCAACAGTCAGCCAAAGTACAAGTGAAAAGGTAGAGCTTCTCCTCAGTAACTCCAACCACTTCCCACCAGCAAGAAGCCTTTTACCACCAGCAGAGACCCCAGCTCTTACAAGCAGCGTGATGCAGGCAGCAGACCTAACCCTGGAAAGTAAAATCCCAAGGAGAAGACTTCCCTAAACAAGGTGCCCCCTCCCCAACACCTCCAGTTGAGATTCCCAGCCCTTACAGACCTGAATACACAATATTAGTGTCCCAGTAATTAAAAGCAGCAATCCAGGCCTCAAATTTGTGAGCTTCCCACTGGTTCAGGACATGCACAGATGGAGCAGATTCATCTATGGAGAAAAGATTCAGCTTCCCCTCTGAATCACTGCTGATCACTCTCAAAGGACAACCACTAGAGTGAAATACAGAGAAAACATCAGAAATTACTGAAACCTGTGTCCTAAGAAGCTGTTAAGAGTAAAAAGTAGCAGCCAAAGATAATATAATACTACATATGTTTGATTGAACTGAACATTGATAGAAACGGCAGGAATGCACCCACTGATGCAGTTCTTTTTAGCTTCAGCTCATCCCATCTTAAGATCTTTGATGATCCCCCTCCCCTGATGTCACAGGGGGAGCACACCCTGTATGCTTGTTCCTGAACCCTACTGAATCTCCTGAATTCCCACACAAGAGATATGGGGTCACCCCCTTCCTACAGAACTGCACGTGTGGCTTCTAGAAGTTCTTTGTCCCTCAGGTGACAACAGTGACAGGCTTTAAAAGGACTTTCCATCATGGCAACAATCTTTTCTCTTGAAGGGCAGAGACAAGGGGAAGAAGGAATGTAAGGAAGAAGAAAGGATAACTGGGAATTCTACTTATTCATTAAACAGCATGCACAGAAACAGCTATAACTGGCAAAAGCTACTCAATATTTGCCTTGCAGCACTGAGCCCACAGTTTCCAGCCTCATAACAAAGGCACCACTCTCCGTTTTGCACTTCACTTCAGAAAACATTTCCCCACCTCTTTCAAGGTACAGTTCATTCTCCTTACTCCATGCAGTGATGCCACTGCTGAAATAAAATATGTGAGCACTTGAGAGAGGGAGGAGCCACTTCCACACCAGTTCTCTCCTGTTTCTCACAAACCCACATTTCAGCTTCCTACATCTGCTATTTTGGCAGTTCTTAAGCAGAACTTCACATGGAAATTTCAGCCATTCTAAGGGCAGAGTTGGAACCAGTGGATCCATCTGCATCTTTCCTTTCAGCAAAGGCAGCAGCAGACATGTCCCTGGCTCAGCTGCCTCCATTTACCATGGCATAACCTCACACTGGTTGTTGGTTCAGTCACTGTTACAGGGGCCATGGTGCTCTTGTTCCTTTGTTACCCTTGCTCTGGAAATAGTAACTTCTAGAGGAGCTGCAGGGAGACCCACCTGGGACCACCAAAGTCTTAAACCACTTCACAAAAAGCCACTAGAGGTTCTTTCAAAGTCCTCAACTTATGCCTGAAAATTGCCACACAGACAACAACCTCCAGCACCAGCCTCTGCCTCCCACCCTCACCATTGCTCTCGTCCTGTGGACCAGTCCAGAGACAAGGCCAGGCGCTGCGCTCCGAGATCCACCCTGAAGCAGGGCTCCAACATGCAGCTCTTCTTCTACTGGAAAGAAAAGGAATGGGTTAAGACTGGGAAGACAGCAGGGGTACTGCTTACACCCCGAGCAGGTGTTTTCCAGAGACCATATTAGGGTTCTGCACTCCTGAAAAGTCCCACAGCAACGTACAATTGCTCAGCACTCGCTGAGGGGCAAACACGTGCACTCCCTGGATCCCCCACTTCTGCTCCCCACCTCCCACCCAATTCCCATTAAACTTTGCTTCCTCCCAGTGAGTGATGAAATGCAGAAGATATGAACTGACTGCTGAATTCCCTCTGCTGCTTCCCGGGCTCTGTGGGAATAGCACTCTTGATTACTCCCTTCCCTCACCAACCAAAAGACACCCCCCTCCAAATTTTTTTTCCCTGCTTTTAACAACTTGGCACCTTCTGCTGCGTTCACTAGTTACTCTGTGTTCTCAAGCCACAGTTTGCAGGGTTTGCTTCTGCTCCCCTCACGCCTCTCATCTCCCACACTCTGCAAGTGGGTAGAGCCAGTTTATCTGGTGCCAGGAACAAATTTGTGGGATTTATGACAAACATTACCAGGAGACAAAAAGAAGCGTTCGAAAAGCTAAGCACAGTGAGTGAGCCATGGGAACCACAGAGCTCTCCTGCAACCTCTGAACACTGCTAATAAACCCAGAGCTGCACCACACCTGGGCTGAGCCCAGCTCCAGCAGCAGCAGGTGCCACATCCACCCACCTCGCTCCCAGTCAGGTGGCAAAACTCCACAGCACCCAGCGAGTTTGCAATGCCAACCATGGGATGTTCTGCAACAGGAACGTGGCACCTAAAACATCAAGACAAGTGTCCAGTGACCATCTGGCTTGTATTGATGGAGGGGGGGAAAAAAAAAAAAAGTCAAAACTTTAATTCCAGGAGGAACAGGAAGGTACAATTAAAACCTGATGAAGAAAATCTAAGGCCCCTCAGGCTCCCACAAACCTGCCTGGTGGAGATAACATATCGGGCAAATCTGGTATAAGTGACTATAAAAACAAAAGGGCTCCACTGAGCAGCTGCTCAACAGGAATCAGCACAGCCCTTCCTCACTGCAGCAGCTGGGAAATACTTCTCCCCGCAGAGGCAGGGACCCCTCCGTGAGTCAGGGCTCACCACTTGATGTCCAGGACGGCAGCCGTGTCGATCCTCTGGATCTCGGTGAGCGGGACGTGGGGCTGCTCCTCGCTGTAGTGATAGAGGTAGAGGCGCCCGGCGCGGTCACACACGGCGCTGCTGCCTCGGGAGCCGGGCTGGGCCAGAACGGGGGGAAAGAGGCTGAGAAAGTGTTTCTGCCTTCCCGCGCGCAACCCTCCCGAGAGCTCCCGGAGAGGGGCGGGGCGGG